GCTAGTTTTCTCAACTTTGCTAGGCTAAATTTTCTAAGGAAAACATTTGGGAAAACTCTGCTTTTTTTCTAGATTTGTCTCTCTTGAATTACTCTTTCGAATGGCGAAAACCCGATGTCTTCAGCTATCATGGTTAAAAAGTTATAAGCATTCTCTCCACCCGCCTTCTATGTTTTCTCGATAGTACAAGAGACGACTGTGCGTTAAATTTATTTTTTATCTTCACTACGAAATATTCTTGCATAAATATATGTTACAAAACTGCACATGCTTACTCGCATTTGACATATACCTGTATGTTTAAGTTCTGCTTTTTATGAGAGTATCGAATAGAAATGCGTTGAAAATGTGTTTTTTATATAAGACACAATACAAAAGAAAATGTCAACACTTTTTAGCAAAAATATTTCAAGAGTAAAAGTTTTACTCTTGAAATATTTTTAAGAAGAAAAACAGAAGAAGATAGATTTTTTGCACAGATCGCTTTTTCAAGTTCTATTGTGAAAAAAATAATGCTGATGATACTTTTGTTTACTGTTATGCTTGTTTTCTTTTCCCCCCTTGATTTACATTCAGTTGTACTTTAAATAAATGTACTGAAACGGGCATAAAAGATTCTTTCTAGTAAGATAGTTACGAAAAGAAGAAAATATTAACTGAAGATCACATTAAAACTGATATACGTTTAATTTTCGCTTTGATTTCTTAAGTTCTGCTGCGGCTGCATTTCCTACAAACTTTTCTCTTTTAGAGATTAACGACAATAGCGCTGTCGTAGTTTAAAGTATGAGATGAATTATTAGTCAAATCTTACTCTCACTAAATTTTAATAATACGCAGTGCATGGACGCTCGTGTAAAATGTGCTCGAGTGACGAACTTCGTCCCATACCTAAGTAAAAGGTTTTACGAAGAAAAACACACAAAGAAAAGACCAAAGTAACCGACTGAGTATAGTTGATGAATACAGTCGGTTGCAAAAAAGAACATTCGGTCTTTGATTTTTCCTAAAAAAACAGGAAAAAAGATAGTTCGTGACAAACCATGTATAGTACTCGAAAACTTATAGAAGCGGAGGTATCAATGCACTTACAACCGTCTTTCTGTTTACATATAAATTCTGAACAAGTATGGGCATATATGCATTAAAATCTGCTCTGTCAATTCAAAGGAGGAGGAGCCATTTTGTGCTCTAATTGGCCCGTTAACCGAATTTAGCTTCATGCATCGGGTAGGTACAATGTGAGTAGGGGAGTCGAACTGGACACCTTCTAAACCTTAGAATTACTTCAAGCGAAATTTTATCGCTTGAATATTTTCTCGGTTAGAAACCCAGTGGCAATCGTATTTATTATGTTTTGTCTGTTAGTGTATTTCAATAGATTTGCCTATTTATTATGTTTGCCATCTATTATATATCACTCGAAAGCTCTTTTCCTCGGCAACATTTTTATATATAACATATTGAAAACTAATTGCATTTGAGCAGCGAAAAACACGGAATAGCATTTATAACTACACAGTATAATTAGCATCGATAAAATTAAGAACGCCTAAAGAACAGAGAGAACAAATAAAGCAAATCGATCTCGTATCACGATAGAAAAACAAGTAAAACTTTAGTGTTGTATTAATGTTTTTTTGTTTGTGTCTTTATTGATTTTTTTAAAATAAGGACTGCTAAAAAATCATTATACGCCAAATTGTGTTAATTTCATTTAACGTCTCTGTCCTGAATAGAAGACAACACAACGTCAAATTTGCTATAGTGATTGTGTTGATTATTATCAGAAAAAAGAATGATCTAGGCTACTTCACGTTTCAATTATTCTATACAGAGATGAATTGTGAAACAGGACCTGATAAAATTAGAAAGTGGATTTCAACACGACTAGAAGTGAGACATAATTTGAGAGACAAACATACGAAAAGGAATAAAGAAGAAGTTCATCAAGTGACTTGAATGACACAGGACTTGAATCAAGTCCTGTGTCACAATTCATCTGCTTATACTAACTCAACGGCTAAATATCAGACATAACAAATCCTCAAGAGGTTATATACTTCTGTCGTTGTACGAGGGATACTACGTCAATATTCAAGACCCTGAACACATATTTTCTTTTCACATGTTTGTCTGTCAAATTGTCTCAATTCTGACCGTGCTAAAATTCGCTTACTACTCTATACATTCTAAATTTCTACAAGGAATTTTCTAGTTGTAATTTCTCTATTATTCTACTTTTTCTTTTAAAAGAAAAGAAAAAGTAGAATAATAGAGAAATTACAACTAGAAAATTCCTTGTGGAAAAATCTCTGTATATGTGCCTCTCTTCTCTCTCAAAAGTCATTCGCCTGATGATGATACTGTGATAGTGTCGAAAGCTCGCTGTTTGTATGTAAAATGATTTTACTTAAATTCTTTTCTATAATTTCGAATATACTATGTTTCATTAAAAACGTAAAAAAGTCAAAAAGCATCAATATATCTAAATTTCTTTTATATTATTCTGTTTACGTATAAAGTCGCAATTGTCTTTCTCTCAAGGCTTTTTCTTGTTTTGACAAATGTGAATAAATGGAAAATAAACAACATTCGAATGCTTGAAAAAGATGCCATGATGTCTAGAATTTTGAGTCTTCTCAAATACACCAAGAGAGTGATGGAAGAACTTTATTTCAATTTTTCATTTAAAGCAATGCTTTCTTATTATTTGCGATGTTGTACACAAAGAAAAAAATCATAAAAGAACGACATTGGACAGATTTCTTTTTTTTGGCGGACATAATAACGGGTAGACCAGAAATAATAACACACTTTTGCGACTTATTTTCGTGCACTTAACTGAGCTTTTAAGACTCCATTTTAGACTCATTCGATAGAGAATTTTCTGCTCTACAAAATCTGTTACTTTCTTGCATTATATATTATTTTATTATCCAAGAAGATTGTGTAGAGTAAGACACATAAAAACTATAACTGTGACGAATAGAACAGGTTGTATTTATTTTTGTATTCGACGTAATTCATTATATAATAATGTTTCTGTCAGCTAGTTATCAGAGGTACTATGCGTAAGGAAACCGTCTTGATTTAATTAATTCACATTGAAAAATAATATTTTTCCCAACATTTAGTCACTAACAACAAATGGTCCTAAGATTATGGGGTTATTGATGTACCTATTTTTGTCTATATATTGTATGTTTCCAAGAATTCGTTCTGGATTCAGAAGACAAAAGATTTTCTGCTCTACAAAATCCTCTATAGCGTTTACTTAAACAGCGTCATTTGATTAGTCCTTTTCCTGCTTTTTTCAGAATCTCAGGTTGTCAGAAAGTTCTAATTAACTTGTATACTAAAACATTTATAATTTAAGTGACGAAACGGAAAAGCAGTGTAGTCTGGATGATAGTCCTCAATCCATTGAACATTTTTATAGGACCTTCTTTTCTCTGTTACCATATTAATTCTCGAAAAATTACACAAAAGCCAAAAAGCCATCAAAATTCTGATAGTAAATCGCAGTTATACCTTTTACGTGTCCTTACTCTACACAATCTTTTTAGGTAATAAAATAAAATATATAATGAAAGAAGGTAACAGATTTTGTAGGGCAGAAAATTCTCTATCAAATGAGCCTAGAATCGAGTCCTACAACCGCAGTTAAGGGCACCCCCTTTCCGAACGTGAAAATTTTTTCTCGGGTTTCTAAAGAAAAGCTCGATCAAGAATTCCGAACCTTTCAGGGTAGATAGATCTCGACTAGCAGAGCAAAAGTTGAATTCTCGAATGCTTCCTTCTATTAGAAATAGGAGACGCAAGGGCCAAAAGTGGATCTGTTCTTGAGAAACCCGGAAAAAAGTTTTCACGTTCGGAAAGGAGGGGTGCACTTAAGTGCACGGAAATAAGTTGCAAAAGTGTCTTATTTTCTGGCCACCCGTTAGAAGATCACGGTCTTCTATTTGGCTTTCAAGTCATATAATCGATAGTGGTCTTCTATTAGAGGGGAGGGGAGGGGGTTGTATCAAACAGAAGTGGTTGCTTAGTTCGTTCTTTAATTGGAGAAGGTCGCTGTCTTAAGGTGCCGTCAATTCAAAAGATAAGCAAAATTTTTTTTTTGATTTTTTTTTTTGATCATTAGACCGAGCTCATCGAGTTACCTAGAAAAAACTGAAAAGTGGATTTCTGAAAGTCGTTTTTCATTTAAAAATTTTTTTAAATATTGATTTTTTAAAAATGGGCAAAATTCAGCAAAATTTTCAAGGAAAAGCAAAATTTGAGGATTTATTGTCTTTTTAAAATTTTGGTAGTATTTTTTCCTGATTTTACATACAAAATTGAATAGAAAAGGTAATTCAGATACTTTTAGAACCTGATTGACCGACTGAAATCGCTGAAGACCTGGCAGAACGGCTGGAACCCCACCCGAACTTCTTGTAAGCCTATCTAGTTTTTTTGGTTAGCAGTTAGGTAAGTTTTTTTCTTTATTTAAGTCATCACACTTGTGGGAAAAAAGTTAGTATCCGTTTTGGAAAATATTGTTCCGTTGCTGAGAAAATTAATTTTCTTGAAACTGGTAGCAAAAAACAAGAAAATTCACTTGTATTTTAAATGAAAAAAGACTTTCAAAAATTCATTTTTCAGTTTTTTCTAGGTAACTCGATGAGCTCGATCTAATGATCAAAAAAAAATTTTGCTTATCATTTGAATTGCCGGCACCTTACTTTCATGATCTTTCGTAGCGTCATACGAAAACATCTAGTAGAAGTTTCATCTTACTCCTACTTAATGTTACTTTCTTTTATTCTGAAAGAGAACAAGGCTTATTTACGTTTAAAAATTACACATTCATTCGATCACCATACATATTTTCAAGAGTAAAGGGAAGAAAAATATTTTTGATCTAATCGAGGAGAGAATGAAACGAAAGCATTCGTGTTATTTTGATTTTTCATTTCATTTCAAGACAAAACACTGTAGAAGAAGTTCCGTCAGTCATGAATTATGGGATCGTTGAACGTTTTATGGATGTTGAAATAGCAACTAAACGTCTGCCATCCTGTTACGGTTACCTAACAGCACCATTAGTTCCACTAAAAGAAGCTATCGAACCTATTCATAATCTTATTCCTGGTTTGGAAAATTATGCGAAAAAAGCGCGTAAACATGCTACATTTCCAAATAAACATAATTTAACAAGGGATGAAGCTGCATCTATTTATCTCTATACGATGGAAATGGGTATGGGTGTCGAAACGAGTTTCTATTTTCTACTAAATCAGACACTGCGAAATGAGGATCGAAATAAAGTAAAACCATTTTTCTATTATTTGAAGTTACTTGATTCAGCCGTTTCAAAATTACCTCCGACAAAATGTACTCTGTGGCGTGGTATAAATAAAAATATTAGCTTTTCATTTAAGAAAAATGAAATGGTCACGTGGTGGAGTATTAGTTCGTGTTCAACATCGGTTGAGGTCATTCAAGAATTTCTAGGAAAAACTCCGGAATGCACACTATTTAATATTGAAGGTTTACAAGGTAAATCAATTTCAGAATACACAAATTTTCCAAATGAAGATGAAATTATTCTCATGCCCGGTACAACATTAAAAGTTGTATCTGATCCATTGACTCATCACGGTGGTTTGAATATTGTTCATTTGAAAGAGATAGATGATGAAAGTGATGATGATGAAGATGGACACAGCCAACAAGGGGCTGGGAAACCACCACAACCAGAAAAGCAGGTGCAGCATAATACTGTAGTGCACAATAAAAAATAGCTATCTTCCTGTGAAAATTATTTGCAGCCAAATACATAAAAAGTATACAGATGATGTAAAATATACAAACTACAAAATATTATATACAGAATATGTACACTAAGTGTAATTTGTTAATTTAGAAGAAAGTGAGCTAGATATACGACAAGCACAACTACATTATATTATCATATAAAATTTAGACAAACTTTTTCTCCAACAGATCAGCCTATTATAAGTGATAACTTTTACGTCCAGTTTGAATAAATGCAACTTTAAGAGACTTATAATTCGGCACATCGATATATTTTTCAGAAAAAGGTTTTTTTAGTTTTTAAGAAATACAGGTGTCAATAGCAAAGATAAAAGTTAGTAAAATGGGTCTGTTTCAATTTAGTTTTAGCGATTTCACTGGAAAAAATAACTGTAAAACTTGGGCTTCGTTGACTATGATATTCTGAAAAGTGATCAATAAAGTTATGTTGGTCATTCCAAATTCGTGCAATTCTAAAATTAAAGTGAAATTCATATATTTTACTAACTTTAGTCTGTGACATTGAGATCTCTACATCTTAAAAGCTAAAGGAGACCCTTTTCCAAAAAATAGCTTGGCATAGAGTACAGTTTGTGTACTTCAAACCGACAGAAAAACTGGAGTAGGGTACCTTCAAATTTGTAACTTTCTAATATGGGAAGTAGCTAGAATATACACTAATTTCATAGTCAGTGCAAACTTTCTTTTGGATAAAACGATAAAATTTGCTTTTCTCTCTATTTCTTTCTTTATCTCTCTCTCTATAGTGTGCGTAGAAGGAAAGAAGCATCTAAGTTTCATCTAACGGAACTATTACGTGGATTATATAGACAAGAATATTTTGTTATACAATGATGAATATAACGATAATGGATGAGTAGTTATTGTTCATCATTTGACACTCTTATTCATTAATTATCAATAGCTCTGTTTCAAGGAGATACTGACTATGGATAATAGCAGCCTTTCAACCATTCTTATTTCTGTTTTATATGCATTATCTCTCACTACCATGGCCCGAAGAGAAAGCCGGAAAGTCATGGTAGTTCAGAAAGTTCTCTGAAAACCCATTTGGCTTTATATTAGTGTAGGTACGTACTTTTTCATACGTTTAGCTGTGATATTGGCAGCCTTATAACTCAAAAACACAACGGTATCTTTTTCTAAAAAATAGCATGGCATGGAGTACAACCTGTGTACTTCAAACTGACGTAGAAGACGGAGAGGGGTACATTCAAATTTGTTAACTTTTTCATCTGTCAAGTTGCCAGAATATACACCCATTTTATAGCGAGTGCGTTTTTTCTTTCTGGATAAAAACAAAAAATTTGTTCTTTTCTTCGTTTGTTGCTTTATATCTATTTCTATATGCACACAGAAGGTGCATTGACAGCTCTGTATCTCAAAAATTAGGCTGTACCCTTTTCTAAAAATAGCTCGGCATAGAGCACAACTTGTGTACTTCAAACTGACGCAGAAAACGGAGAGGGGTACTCCAAATTTGTTAACTTTTTAATCTGTTAAGTTGACAGAATATAGAGTAAGTTCATACTGATTGCAGTGAGCATTTTTATGAAAAGAATTTTTTCACTTTTCACTTTCTTGCTTTCTATATCTGTCTCTATATACGCGTAGAAAAGGGAAAAAAT